GCATACAAAAAACATACAAAACATACACACAAATTCATATACAAACAAACATACTTTTCCATTTTAGAAACATCATCAACAAACACAGCTCATATAAATTAGACCGAATCAACGCATTAGACACATTGTAGCATGTGAGTGGCGGAATCTCTTTGAAATCGAACGAAGTCACTGTAACAAAGCAGAGGTGGAAGCAATCACAAAGAGCATGCATTCGTAAAAGTAAACATTTTGCAGCCATGTGAGGCTCAACACTTTATAATCCACATTAAATTCATCCGGGTCCATCTTTCGGTTTTTTTTTAGAAAAGCGTTTAATTTTGTAACAAAAAAAAACTGTTTCTACGGCATCTCTCCTTGTCGTATTTGGTGGGATGGATGTTTGTTGTCGGGCTTTGTTGTTGTCATTGCTGATGTTGTTGTTGGTGGTGGTAGTGTTGTTTTTGTTGTCTGTGTAGTTTTTGTTGTTGTTGTTGTAATTGCTGCAACTTTATTCGTGTTTTCTCAAAGGTTTTGTCTCTGAAACACTCAGTGAAGTTTCAATTGAAGATGCTGTCTTGTATGTAGTGTCTCAACTTTTGTTCATTTTAATGAGTATTTCGCTGGATAATCAAGTTTAAAAGTGGCAAACGTGTTGCTGAAAATAATTTTGAAATTTTCTTTTTCTTTTGTTAATGTTGTTTAATATTTTTTCTTTCATTATTGAATTTTTTGCGCCAATACAAACATTTTTATTTGAATTTTAAACTTTTCCCCTATGAAGCACTACACTTGTACATATGAAAAGTTAATATTTATGACACCGTGAAGTGAATGAATAATAAGATCACTATAATGATGATAATGAAGATGATGGTAAGTGTTGATGATGAGTTAGTGGCAGTTTTAAGCAAATATGAATACAATGATACAAATCTACAATGCAATCTACAATGACGATGATGTTGATGATGATGCTAAACAACTATCCCGAACGAAAATGATCATTATGTAAGAAATAATGACAATGACGTCAATGATGACGCAGACGATGACGCAGATGGCACGTGACTTAATGAAAGAGTGAACATCTTATAATTTAGCGCGTAATTTCAGCTGGGATATCACGTGATTCCTTCTTTAATTGCAACGGCGATACAAAAAAAAACGAAATTAATTATGAATTGAATGATTCATATTATATTATTACTTTAAATAATAATTGAATTTATAGTAAATTAAAATAAACAATAAATTATAAATAATTCTTGAAAATGAATTTAATAAAAAAAATATATAAACAGTACATTTCAATCTATCACAGGCAATAAACGATTTGACAAAAATGAATAAACCACAAAATATTAACAAAAAATTGCAAACGTAGTCGCTATAACAATGACTACAGCGCTCAGAGCACTGGCAGCCACAACAGCATCTACCACAGCAGTCATAGCAGCTACCACAGCAGCGACAACAGTGACAAAAACGACAGTAACGATAATGATTAACAACGATAATGGCCATTAAATATGCATTCACCGATTCTTCGCTAATATCTACCTCATGGTTTCCGACGTGTCACTCACATCTGGTAGGATCATAATCAAATTTCGAGACACCCTCAGGATGTTTTTAACAATTTTTTTTTACCAAATAATGTTTTCAATTTTGAAGAAAAAATACAACAAACAGTGCAAAAATTTACATAATATTCCATGGCTCAATGTTCTTTTGAGCAAGGATTACTAAGGAAAGCCGTCTCATTGGTCGTCTTCTTCAAAGATAACTTTTAAAGGGGTTGAGTAGATGAATTTGTTAAAAACGTTTGGAAGTTCGATTATGCTAATTTTTTTATTGCATTGTTCAGTTATTAATTTTATTGTTGTAGTCTGCCATATCAAGTCCTTATAGCTATTAGTATTAACTATATAATACAGTGATATATCATTATAATACTAATATATCAATAATATATTAGTATTATAATGTATATATACATATTTTTGAGAAAAAACAAAATTATAAATTAAGTTATAGATACTTAAAGCAAAATATAAATTATGTCTCGAAATATATATGTATATATAATGATAGTAGTTGATGCATTTGATAACAAGACAAGAGTGTTGTCCAGCGGCAGATACGGGTCGTTTAACCAAATTGATAGCCTTCCTTATTAACGGATAAAAGCAAAATAATGACGAATTTATATCAAATTTATGGATGTTTCATGTTCCTTTCATGTTCGTTTCAGCTTTGATCGTCATCTCAAGATATATTGGTTGCTGACAGTTTATTGATTTGAACGCAAAATTTTTGCGTGCATGTATGTCTTTGTGCGTGTGTGGGTGTTTGTGCGGGTGTGTGTTTGTATGTGTGTTTGTGTGTGTGTTTGTGTGTGTAATTTTGTATGTGTGCTTATGTTTTTCTTCAAACTGTCTATGTTCATTTTCAATGCCTGCATCTTAATTCAATAGCTCAAATACAAATTGAAGAAGTGCAAGCAAGGACACCTCAAGTTTTTTAACATGGAATAAATTAGAGCCAGCATTCACACACACGCACACACACACACGCACACAAACACACAGGCCATGTTTTCCAGCAGTTTCCACGCCACACCACACACAGCCGGCCGGGTAGAATCTTTCCATTCGATGTGATGAACATGAACAAATTTCTCCATCGCACGCATGCACATAATGCAATTAATAGCGACGCTTTTATTTATCATCATTATATTGTATGCATGTGTGTACAATCTCGCATGTACGTACACACTGCAATGTATGCATATGCAAACGTATACAAAGCTGTTTAAACTTGGAAGCGAGCATTCTGTGTAAGACAACAATGTACGTACATCCTTGAGAACATTCCTACATGCGCTTGTTTACAGTTCAGTAAATGGACGCTAAAATTTTCATTAAGGATGTAAAGGGAAACTTTTTATGCATTAAAGCAACCGTGTGTGCTTGTGTTTGCGTGTGCGTTCGTGTGTGTCTGTGTGTGTATGTGTGATTTTATGAATCTATAGTTGTGCATATATCGGGTTGGCGCATGCGGCATCTGTATATCATTAGTTTGATGCAAGCGTATATGCTCATTGTTAGATCTCGTGACATGACATAAACTTCAATAAAAGCTTGATTGACTGATTGGCTGGTGTCATGTAACGTCACTCATTTATTCATATTTGACGTCGCTTGCAGCCATCGTCGTTGTGGTCATAGTAGCATCCACATAGCAACCACAAAACTCAATAAAAAAATTCAGACCCTCTCCATACATGCAATGAAAACCTCAACCATGGCCATTATGCCCGAGTCTCAATAATCATATTATATTCTTCCTGATGAATGTCCTCACAGACGAATGCTCATATATACACGCATATCAGTAGGTAAGTACACATACACACGCACGCTTTCACGCACACACGCACATATGCAAGCATACAAACATACATATATACACACATGCTTCCAAACACATTTGTCTCATGTTTGTGTATTTAGGTATATAACGTTCCCCCAAAAACTTTCAAATCTAAACAGTCAACTAACAAAAAACAGCAGCAGCAACAACAACAGCAGAAAAAACAACCACATAAATAAATACATATAAACCATTGCGCATAAAACACCTCTGACGTCATAATTCTCAAATGATGACGTGGCCGCACGTGACTCGCCTGCCTAAACCTCATTATAACTCATCATAAGTCATTTTTCTATAATGGTGCTGGTGACACAGAAATTGGAGAAATTGGAGAGAAAATGAAGATTTAGGAAGTGGAGGAAAAAAGAGGAATAAAGAAAGAGAGAGAGAGAGAGAGAGAGAGAGAGAGAGAAAGAGAGAGAGAAAGAGAAAGGTTGTAATAAAGGGAAGAGAGAAATACTTGAAGTTTACGAGATCGTACATGCGATTAAGATTATTGAAAAGAATGATGGTGTGATAATACTTACATTTTCTTCATCATCGTCATTGTCATCATCATTATCATCACCCTCATCATCATCATCATCTAGATCACGTGCCTGTCAATCATCATCGATCACTGTCCGTCAGCTGCTACCCGCGTTCAATGGGGCTCTCAATATGAACGGAACATGTTTAAACTACGCGTGACTATTTGAGATGGTATTAAACAAATTTGATGAAATGATTCAAGTTTTTTATTTTATTTTTTATCATCATCGGTGTTTTATTTCCATTTTTATTTAAATTTTTACATAAAACAGTTATTGTATTATAGTCATAACTACCAATGTGATCCACAACATATCATCATAATCACAAGAATGATAAGCAACATATTAATCACAGTCACCAAAATAACCAGCAAAACAACAAACATATCGCCATAGCCAGCAGAATGACTAGAGCCATCACAGCCAACCTTGTTCTGTGTCATAGATGTAGACCAACTTCTCCCACTTAAAATGCACGACGAGATCAACAATTGCTTCATGGTATGGAGGCGTCATGAAAATCGTGAAGTCTGAAGATGCGTCAGATGCAGAGGCTGACGATTCTGACGATGGAATTGATGATGTAAGCGTTGAAGTATGAAGAGAAAAATTTGTGGCACTGTGTGTTTTTGTTGTTGTAGTCGGCGGTGTTGTGAATGTTGAAGTTTTAAAATACCAGTTCGGCTGAGATGTTGTTAAATTCGAATGTGTGGCTGGCGATGAAGTGGTGGTTGTGGTCGGCGTTGTCGTAGCCGTCGATGTAGTGGCGTTCACGTGTCTTGGGATCTTTCGCATCATGGGTGGCGCGTTAAAGTCGATTGGAGGGTTGTCGTGGCTGATGTAGGGCAAATGGAAAACCTTTCCAAACGATTGGGTGACATCCAGGGCTTGCGGGTCCGTCACCCCGTATAAAAGGAATATACCCTTCTCAAGGTTGGAACATACTGTTGAAGATGTTGTATTCATTTATTATTTTAAAAAAGTATTTTTCGGGCTTTAAGGCTGTTTTTGAAAAACGTTTTCAAATTCAAGTTGTAAAAAATGTATTTAATGTTCCTAATTTTTCGTTTAAAAACAAATTAAAACACTTTGAAATTTATTTATCAAGTAAAAAGTAATTCAATCTGAAATGAAAATGAGAAACAAGTAATAAAAACATACCCGTCAAAAATCTAATCGACATTTTAATTATTGCATTGCATAGAAGTAACTTTTTTCTCCCATGCTAACGCCAGAACATAAAACACCTCCAAAACATTACAGCATGAGATTATATGAGATAAAAAATTATTAATTGCAGATATGATTTAAGATGTTCCAAACAAAATTGTCAACTGTTTGAGAAATAAATTTAAATTTGAATAAAAAAAAATGTATCGTGTTGGAGGGCGAATGTATTAATCAGTCAATATTTAATCAGGTGTTTTTTCAATTTAGCGATTTATTTGAAGCTTGGAGTGCATCTAAGATTAGAATTAAATAGATCTACGTGATAGCTTACTGGCTGGTTTTTTATATTTTTGTATGAACCTGATGAAGTAGAAAGATTTAATTTCATTACAATTTTTCATTGCAAAGAGAAAGACCTTATTGTTACAAGTTAATCTCAGTGTTGCATGTCTTAATTCCAATCTTTCAATCCAAATATTTTTTTAAAAACTGAATAATGAAGAACAGAAATGAGGTTTTGTTTCACTAATCCAGTTCATAAAAATGTTATCGACAGAAATAAACTGATGAAATTTCTACCTTTCTCGTCAAACTTAAAAGCAATGGAAAATGCAAACTTGTTTATTTGAACTTTCTGTCAAAAAAACATGTTGAAACAAAAAATGCAAATTCGGAAAGATAACTTTTAAAAAAAACAACTCCGAAAGCAGCTGGAGTATTGAAAAATAAAAATCTTTCAAGAACAAAGCCTTCACAAGCTAAACAAGCAGTAAAACACGGCGAAAAACACAAGACGTGAAGGGATTGACAGCAATTCGACACCCTTTCATTCATTTGTTTCTGGCAAACGCTCTCTTTCATTTAACACAGGAATAGGATTAGATTGTGTTATGCACTTGAAAGCACGTCCGCCTGCAATAACCCACACATACGCACGATCATACACAATCACATATACATGTGGCATGCATACATAAAAAGTTTTTATTGACTTTATAAAAGAGAAATTTTGAAATTTGACGTTGTGAATGTTGACATTGTACGCGTTTTAAAAACAGTAACGTCTACAGACATAAATTTTTACTCATTTGCTAATAAATTAGGTTTATTATCGATAGTTTGTTCAAACATTAACATGATTATAAACATGCACGTACGCAAGCACTTACGCGTGCCACATAACGCAAACGTACACGGACGTAGACAAATTTGTAGAAGCTTCTACGCAGCCTCTCTGCCTGCCCACGCGCATTTCATCGCCTAATTGTCCATCATTTATATTGCTTTTGTACTATCTCCTCTAATCACACGTGAGTGAATGAAAGAGCATGAATCAATACATTTCTAACGTTTTTGAATAATTTATGCATGTGCATATGTTTGTGTGTGTGTATGTGTGTGTGTATGTGTGTGTGTCTGTGTGTGTGTGTGGTGTGTGTGTCTGTTTGTCTGTATGTGTGTGTGTAAACTTATATACTCATAAAAATTGGTACCTTTTATAAATAACATCTTCAAAAATTGTCGAAATAGTGTAGGCTTCAGATACATGGATATTTTTAGCTTACACTGCACTACTAAGAATAAAATTGAATCGACATTTTTTATATAAAAACGAACCAGTAATGTACAAACGTAACAAATGAGAATTTTATTTAAGCATGATTTATAATTAACCAACATTAACAAGACCAAATTGCAAAAAATTTAATTTAAACGAACGACAAAATTGAATGACGCAATTTAAAAGTGTTTTGAAAGTTGGAAGATTAGTTAACGGGCTTTTTAGAAAACGTATTGGCGATGGAAAAAAAGATAATTTTTTTTTGAGTTTTATCAGTAAATGCTAAAAAATGTGGACAATAAGTAACATGAAAAAACTTTTAATGAAATAAAATGCAAAACTTTGCAGGGACCAACTTGATCTAGAGACTTCATAACTGTCGCTTGTGTCAATAACCTTCTGGTAAGTGTTGATCTTGAATTGAGCGCTGTTTCGTTGAAATTTGGACGCTGACGACGACGATGAAGAAGATGCCAGTGTTGGTGATAACGAAGACAAAATTGAAGATAACGATAATGACGACGAAGATGATGAAAATGAGGATGAAGAAGAAGATGGCGATGACGCGAATGTTGATGTTTTATTGTTGAATTTTTCAATTTCAAGGTTGAATGCGGTTTGAGCTTGTTGTACAACATGTCGCGATGAAGTCATTATATCTAGTTGATCGTGATGATGTTGTTGGTGGTGATGTTGTGGTTGCTGCAGCTGATGATAATGTGGATGCTGTTGGTGTTTGTTTTGTCGTTGTTGCTGTTGTTGTTTATGGGTTGGATGAATGTCACCTGTTGTTTTCGGGCTATCGTACAACATTCCTGTTTAGTAAGATGAAAGACGAAATTGTTTATTTATTGCTCGCATCGAGGCATATGTTCACTTTAATGCCATACACTCCTGCCGTTGTTTTGTTGCTTGTTTGTTGTTGTTGACGTTGATTAGTTTTGTTTTGTTGTTAAAGATTATTTGGCGTAGTTTCGTGCATTATAACGATTTATGTATAGTGAAAATAATCACTCAAACATGTTATAACATGTTTATAACATTTAGCATTACAATCAGGTAGGCCTACTGTTTGCAATCTAAGAGCTCTCCTAAGTTATGGATTTCAATTTGGAAGATTTGAAATATAGCATATTTTAGTTATTTCAAATTCACATGTAACGCGCAGCCCACACTGAATAATAAACTCATGCTACAAACTATTAAAGTAAACATATGTATCAAAAAATTGTTTAAAATTTGAATCGAAAAAGACGATATGAACTTTTAAAAACTAATTTTTTTTAAGGTTTTAAAAATATGTTCAACTTATAAATTAAAGTAAAAGCAAATAAAAAAAATAAGCCGAAAACCAGGAAAACAAAACATTAACATATAAGTTGAAAACTCAAAATAAGATAAGGAAACAAAGCATCAATAAAAAGAATCATTATAAACAAAGAAAGAGAAAGAAGTAATGGAAAGAGAGAGGGAGAAAGAGAGAGAAAGAGAAAGAGGATCGCATATGTGTGGACAGAATTGGATGGACAAGTGAAGCAGACCTCATGTGCACTCTCAATACCAAGCACAGTAACTTTAAATTAGAACTTCATCTAGATAGGATGTATGTGTGTCTACATGCATATGTATTTGTTTGTGTGTTTGTGTGTGTGTTTGTATGTGTAAGTGTGTGTGGGATGATTTCAAGTGAATACTAATTTTCATACTTATTATTTATTATTTATACTTATTGTACAAGACAAGCGTACAAGAAAAGTGAATTGAAATTCTACGCCGATAAAATATATTGACGCCAGACAGCGTTAGTCTGAGGTTATTTGATGAATCTTTCATGAACATTCATTTTTCTAATGTTTACTTTTAAGATAAATTGTCTAAAAAATTTAAAGAGCAATCTTACCTAAAAAAATTTCATTTAAAAATATGAAAAATTATAATTGAAATATACAACATAAAAGAGAAATACTATGAGCCATAAAATTTTGGAAAAACTTTTAATAAAATTCAAACCACAAAAATAACACACACACCACACACACACACACACACACACACACACAAACAAACAAACAAACCCACACAGATACAACGCACATTTGCATATAAAACATATAAAAGCATCCTTACCTAAAATCTTTATAAACCAAAGATATGATGCAAGATACAATGATGCATACACATATGATACTAGATACAAAGATACATAAACGTATGATACACATACAAACTACATAAACACGTATACAAAGGCAAGAAGAGCGCTAGTCATAAACAATGTATATTGATGTCTTCTACAGATAGCATGTGTTGTGAAGAGGGCTCTGATGACATTTTTTGTTACGGTATTTTTTGCGTTGTCCTACGTCTTAAATGTTGCATTTTTTAGTTTGTTTTTCTTCATTATTTTTGTTTTATGATGTTTTGTATCTTTGTTTTAATTTAAATTTTTTAGTACCATGTTGAAATTATGTTATTTTTATATGAGTTTATATTAGCCATGAGATGTTTCGTAGGTCTTAAATAAGCTAAAAATTTTCTTTGGAAGACATAAACTACTCATAAATATTTACATAAACATTTTCTTTCAAGTTAAATTATTTTTGGTCCTAATAACATTGTTATTAACAAATTAGTCTGTTAATAAATGATTGAGAAGTTAATATAATACATGATTAATCGTAATCAGCTTAAATAAATTGGAACATCGACTCATTTATAGAGCAAGTTATTTTTATTAATTTAATTTTTTATTATCTGTTATGATTTTTATAAACATGGAGTATTCGTTTGAATTCACAAAGAGTTTATAATATGCCAACAATTTTTTTATTAGCAATGACATCATGTGACGTGTTATATTTGTGTTAGTGTGTGTGTGTGTATGTGTTAGTGTGTACATGTGTGTGTATGGTGTGTGTATGTGTTAATGTGTGTGTGTTTGTGTAATACATCAAATTTGGCGAGTATTTCTGTGAGAGTTCCATCCAAAACCTCCAAATCCCAAAACACATCCATTCCACACAAAATTTAGTGGATATGGTGTAATAAAAGCAGATCTTTTTTGGCTGTTGTATATGTATTGTACAGGCATAGCTTTAGTGTGCTGGAATGTTGCTTTGTTAGAAATTTTTTAATTGAATGTAGCTATATAGAAATATTTTAATCAGATAACTGCGTTTTTCTTGTTTTTTAATAAAATAAATTATTTTTTTCCTCCATTTGTGATATCGAAATTCAAGTTTTACGATGAATTGTTTTTTTTCACTTTTTCATTTCAAAATTAATAAATAAATAAAATATTTTTTACAAAACTCCTATTATTACGATTCTTATAACAAAATAAAAATAAGTTGTTAGTATTTTTATATTTAGTTTTCAGAATTTCAGTTTTTTCTCTTTATTCATATTGGTAGAAACTTGATAAATTAATTAAGACTTCCCCATAAATTTCAATTTACTGTAAGGAGGATAACAGTTGAAATGTGAGTGTGTGTGTGTATTGGTGTGTGTGTGTGTATCTGTATGTGTGTGTGTTTGTGTGTGTGTTTACATCTGTGTGTGCGTACATGTGTGGGTGTGTTTGAATTTTTGCTGTTACTATGCTATTGTTGTTTCTTTGTTAATGTCAATCGAGTTTTTCAATTTTCAGGTTGGTGTTAACATTATTGTTGTTGTTACATGGCTGGTTGTGTATGTGGGTGTTGTTGTAGATGTTATTATGGTCATTTTATGTTGTTGTTGGTGTTGTCGTTATAAATTTTGTATGCATATTGTCGTCGAAGTTGTAAATTTATCGCCTTAATTCATATGTGTCCAATAACTTTTACAAGTCACTTGCTTTCATACATACTACGAAATAAATTTCTCTATCGTGTGCATATGAATATAAATATATATAAACAAATTTATATGCATATATATGTGTGTGTATGTGTGTATGTGTGTGTGTGTTTGTGTGTGTGTGTGTGTGTGTGTGTGTGTGTGTGTGTGTGTGTGTAAAAATTTTTTCAAACAAAGTTCTATATAATTATATATACATTACATACATTTTTATATAAATCCTATACACACACACACCATAAACCCAACACACACAGACACACACACACACAACACACACATACAACACACACACAACACACACATACAACATAACAAAGCAAAGATGACATAGAACCACATAAATATTATAAATAAATACGTATAACTATGCAGGCAAGCGAATGTAAGCCAATAAATAATTTTAATTGAAAAGAGGCTCACATACATCTGAGCTTTCAAAAAGTTTGGCAAATTTATATGTTAACAAGTATTATCGCAGTAACGTTGTAATAGTATTTATTAATGATAGCAGTAACAGAATAGGAGTAGCGGCTGCAGTAGTAGCAACAGTAGCAGTAGTAGTAGTAGCAGTTGTTGTTGTAGTATGTTAGTAGTGGTAAGAGTAGTAGTAGTAGTAGTAGTAATAGTGGTAGTAGTTATTGTAGTAGTAGAGAATTTTCTATAAAATAAACTGATGACTTTTTTTGGAAGTTGACATTTTTATGTTTTTCTTATACCTTATATTTTTTGATTTCAAATTAGACTCATAAAAAATATTCTCATTAGGTTCTTGTTTCAGTTTATGATGCGCAAAAGAAGAAATTTTTATTGAAAAAAAATCATACTTTATGCGATATTTTTTTGAACCTGTTTCTGTTCTCCATGTCCTATTTGCTTTGGCGGGCGATGAACAGGAGGTATTCGCTCGCAATATAAACTTTTTTTATACATCCTGATAAGCTTTACTTCATAATTTTAAAAATAAATTTATAAATTCCAAAAGAAATTTTCATAAATGGTTCTAAAAATAAGATTTTTTCGATTGTTGTTGAGAATAATGATGACTAAGATAATATTTGTGGAAAGAGTCGAGGTTTCTACTACTTAATCAAACGTTTCCAACTCCAGAAGAATGAGTACTACATGAATCTAGTATAAAAATATCAACTTATTTTACTATATCAGCGCCACATTCCAAAAAAATGAACTAGAGTAACTAGAAGGTTTACCTGTTCTGTAACCCATTAGGAACTTTTCTGTCAATACATGTTTCTAAATAACAACGCTTAGAATGAGATAATTTAAATATTATATTAGTTAATAACCAAATGGTTTATATGCTCCTATTTATTATTTTGAAAAAATTAATATTTTATATAAATGTTTTCATATATTAGATTTAAATATTTCAGTCTCATAAAAAAATTGACTTTTATTACTCTTCAAAAAACTGAAAATTGAATAAAAATTTCAAATAGAATCTGTATAAATGGAAGAAGACTCAAAATCAAATGAAATCAAATTAAGCGCTAGAAAAATCGTTCAAAATTAATTCATCGGGGAATTCACTTCAATTTCTCTGACGTTTTCCGGAAGACGTGAAGGATGGATGGAATGAATTTTTCAAAAGAAAAAATAGTCAAAAAAAGTTTGATTAATTAAAAAGTAAATTTAATCAGTCATAAAATTTAAATAATATAAAACAATAAAGTTAAAATTAAATTACTACATAAAAGATAGACTTAGGTTGAATTATTTCTTAAAAAAACTATCTAAAACTCTTGAAAAAATTGTAGTTATATTTGGAAAAGTTATATTTGTTTGAGATAGAAAGAGAAAGAGAGAACAAAAAAAAAAGGAGAATTGAAGATTTTTGAGAAAATTTGTAAAAATTATGCCAGTGTCCTCTAATTAACTAAGTTTAATCCAGAAACAATTTATTTGCTATGAACAGATAAAATTATTTTAAGTATTCCACATTGAAAAACCAG